GATTACGATGTAGTGATCGATTTCCATCCGGGAAAAGCAAATGTAGTAGAAGATGCCTTAAGTCGAAAGACGTTTACAGCCTTACGAGCTATGGATACCAGGCTATCATTAAGAGAAGACGGTGTCATATGTGCGGAATTAACTCTCAAGCCATCATGGCTAAATCGAATTAAAGAATTACAAGTTAGAGATGAAAAATTTTCAAAGAAACTACAGCAGATAAGGAATGAAGAGGTTACGAATTATGATATGAAATCTTATGGGAACCTATATTATCAAATGAGGCTAGTAATTCCAGATGATGATGAGTTGAAGAAAGACTTGTTAATGGAAGCTCATTGTAGTCCATTGACTATGCATCCGAGAGGAAATAAAATGTATATGGACCTCAAGAATCGATATTGGTGGCCTGGGATGAAGAAAGATATTACAGAATTTGTATCCAAGTGTGTGACGTGTCAGTAAGTCAAAGCTGAGCATCAGGTTCCGTCAGGATTATTACAACCAATATCTATTCCTTAGTGGAAATGAGAGAATGTAACAATGGATTTTGTAACGGGGTTGTATTTGACTCCGAATAAAAGAGATCGATCTGGTTGATTGTTGACAGATTGACTAAGTCAGCTCATTTTATTCCGGTACGAGTTGACTTTTCCATGGATAAGTACGCCGAGTTGTATATCAGGGAGATTATACGTCTACATGCTATACCTGTTTCTATTGTTTCAGATTGAGATCCTAGATTTACCTCACGATTTTGGAAGTCATTACATAGAGCGTTTGGAACTCGGTTGAACTTCAGTACAGCGTTCCATCCTCAGTCGGATGGACAATCTGAGCGAACTATCCAGATTCTGGAGGATATGCAAAGAGCTTGTGTTATTGAGTTCAAAGGATCCTGGGACAGGTACTTGCCACTTGCCGAGTTTGCATATAACAACAGTTACCAATCAAGTATTAAAATGGCACCTTATTAAGCTCTTTACGGAAGAAGATGTCGTACGCCTCTAGATTGGTTCGAGCTTAAAGATAAAGAAATTCTTGGTCCTGAGTTGATCCAGGAAGTGGAAAAAAAGGTCCAAGTAATTCAAAGTAATCTCAAAGCAGCAGTTGATATACAAAAATCCAACGCAGATCTAAAGAGAAAAGGAATAGAATACCAAGTGGGAGATAAGGTGTTTTTAAAAGTGTCTCCATGGAAGAAAGTTTTAAGGTTTGGACGTAAGGGAAAACTTAGTCCTATATTCATCGGACCGTATAAGATCGTAAAGAGAGTTGGACCAGTGGCATATCAACTGGCGTTGCCACTTAAAATGGAGAAAATTCACAATGTCTTTCATGTCTCAATGCTTCGGAAGTATAGATCTGATCATTCGCACATTGTGACTCCATAAGAGGTTGAAGTTCAATCAGATTTGACTTATGAAGAGGAACCGTTTAAAATCTTAGCTCATGAGATTAAATAACTAAGAAACAAGACTATTCCATTAGTTAAAGTCTTGTAGAAGAATCACAAGATAGAGGAAGCAACGTGAGAACGTCAAGAGAACATGAGGATTCAATACCCCCATCTCTTTGCATAATGAAAATTCGAAGATGAATTTTCTTAAGGGGGAGATTTGTAACAACCTCAATATCGGGTTAGTGACTAAATTGTAAAACTTCAGAATTTTATGACTAAAGCAGAATAAATTAATAGTATTGTAATTTGATAAAGGGTTAAATTGCAAGGAAGAAGGAATAGAAGGACGAAATGGTCATTTGCAAGGAAAATAATTAATTTGGTTAGATATATATGGAGGCCACGTGTAGGAGAGGATGCAAATATCCAAGCTTCCAGACTTCTCCTCTCCTCCTTTCTTCTCTGTACGTGTGAGCCAAGGTAAGGGTAAGAATTTTTATTTAGTTGTTTATTAGCTGAGATTTAAGTTTGGTTTTGATCCTTAGATGCTAATTAAGCTTAAGGAAAGCTTAATTTGCTTTAAAACAACAAGATGAAGGGGGTAGGAGGAATTAAAGATTAGGAGTTCTTGAATGAAATTTCGAAATAAAGTTCAAAATGAGAATTGGAGGTTGAATTTGACTTGTTATCGACTTATGATTATTAAGGGATTTTCGTGCTCAAAATAGCATTTCTGGGTTGTGTGCATCGATACACATTCAATGTGTACCGATGCACTCTCAAATAAATGAACATCGAATGCCATTAATTCATCGATGCATAAGGAGTGCATCGATGCACCCCCTTAAAATACAAACATTGAATGGGATTTATGTACCGATGCATAGCTAGTGCATCGATGCATACGTTAAGGAATGAATCGATACACTGTAGAGTGCATCGATGCATACCTTCATTAAAAGATGAAAATAACTTTCTTTTTAGCCTAAGGAGTGATAGTCTAGAATATATCAATTAATATATTGATATGTATCAATGTATTACTATGTAGATATAGAGCATAATCTTGTTCCGGAACCATCAAAGGAGTAGGATCGAGTCAAATCAAGCAAGGCTAAGGTGAGTGCATATCCTAGATAGAATTGTATTGAGATAAGACTTGCGATAAGTCTATCTCTTATAATTGAATTTATTATTTCCATATTCATGCACATGCATACCTATAAATATATGTGTTAATGTTATAGTGATTTCATTCATGATTTAATATTATATTATATGAATAAATGCCATTGTCAGAGAATCCTTCAAGGTATGTGAAATAATGGAAATGATCATATGAAGTGACTTATGTGTTTACATGGACAGTGATGAAAGAGATGTAAAATGATAAATGTATTTATAATTAAGCCCATGCTATTTAATATGAGAGTTGTAGGTATAATTGGCATGCCAAGAGTTGAGGGATATCAGTGGTCCGTCGGGACATATCAGCGGTCATTCGGGACAAATATTCAGTGCCCCTAGTGGGATTTTATTCGAACTGTGGTGACATCATTGTGCATAACCTCAGTGTACTCGTGTACCTTCTGTTCTCAATAATGTACATGGGCAATCCAAAGATAAATTAAAGTGAAATTAGCATAAGAATATATGTTTTATATGTGCATGTCACCATCATATATGTTATAGTGTAATCGATGCATGTAAATTAAAATGTCATGATCAGATGGTAAGAATGCATGTTCATGAATTCATTATTATATCTATATGTATTTATACTATGCCTCACTAAGTCTGTGACTTAGCGTGTAAGTGATTTACATGTAGGTACCAAGAATCCAGAAGAGCAGAATTAGGGGTGGCAAGAACAACACCATTACTAGAAGACCAGATCAGAAGTAACTGATAAAGTATGTATTTTGTTATGTATAGTGTGTTGGCATGTAAGAAAAGTATCAGTTATAAATGCTCTGATCGATTTTGGTTATTTTGGTCAATTTATGTAAATAGATTACCTTTATTTTAATTAAAGTTTTAAATTTTCCTTGAATTTTGTCAAGAGTCAAAGTTTGAAAAGTCAATGTGACACCTCAAACTCGTATTCGGGTCGGATACGGGTTGGGGGTGTTATATAGACTTTATTAGCCGACGAATGTGATGACCGACGACTATAGACGTAGTGGCTAGTGAGACTGTTCGTTAAGTTTTTAACAGCTGAGTACTAAAATAAAACAAAAATTAAATGTTTAGGTACTAAAACAAATCAAAACTGATAATTTATATATTAAACTCATAATTTATCATATAAATATTTGAACTTAACTGGGCCTAAAGGCTGGAGTCGATCATCGACCACTTCATTTGTCATGTTGCCAAGGAAGGAGCATAGAACGTACAAGGCCAACCACCCATTGTTTGTTATCTCAGACAAAAACAAACAGCTGCCATTCAAACCCATATATACATAATGCTTTCACCTTCTACCTTCCCTTTTCAATGTCTTGCCCTTTTTGGTACATTATTGACAGCAGGGATGAATCGCAGTCGTATTTCTTGAAAATATTAAATTCACATAGGATTTAACTATTTTCTGTATATTTTTTGTTGATGATTTAATTTCACACCCTCAAAAATTTTATAATTTCCCACTCCTATATTTATAATACAACTCTTTAAGTTCACACTATAAATATAAAATTCGGTGTACACAGGCTTCTGTTATCACAAAGTTCACAATCCCCTAAAATCACAAATCTATCAGCATCCTCACATGAAGGGTCACCACATTACATGAAATCGTCCTATATTAAATAGAAAAGAAAGGTCATGTGAATTAAATTACAGTCAACAGAGCATATTATACTTGGTGAATGGGATTTTAAAACATACTACATACTGCAGCTGGTAAAATAAAACCAGACAACTATCCGGCTCATAGATTTTGGTCCCAAGGATAAATCTTTAATTATAAATGGGAATGCACCAAACCCAACAACCAATGATACGTGTGTGAATTTAATTATGATTTATGAATAATTACATTAAAGTAAATTCTTAAATCTCAAACTTATGGCTGATGATATGGCATTCTAGTTGAATATCGATTACCAGAGGAAGATGATAGTGTAGTGGTTGTAGGGGACCATCCTCAAGTAAGTGGTGTGTTTATAAACTTCAACAAATTGTACTTCCTCTCAGGACCACCATTTCTTCATAATATCTCCCCACGTTCCAATCACCTAACCATAATGCAACAACCGGCATCGACTGCTGCATCTACATTCTCTTCCAATGATATTCCCCCAAAATACTCTTTTGTTAGTTTAATGGATAGGCAATCATTTTGTTTATAAGTCAAATTCAAGGCTAAAAACTATGAAGAAAGCACATTATACAGGATGATGATATGATAAAACTATTTCCTAGATGGGGCTAAATAGCTTTATTTGATTAGCTCCACATCCTTGTGACAAGCTGGAAGATACGCGTAGGATAAAACACTGACTGTTTTGTCAGAAACCTGTACAAACGCCCACATGGGAAAGGGAAGACAAAGACGAATGATATTTAACTTAGAACCAGGAGTTTGTTGGACACGACTTTACTTGAACAGGATCTGTTCTATAGGCTCGTACCTCTGTGTCCTTTAGTTCTACGGAGACAGGATTCCATGGCTGGTTGATGAACAGAGACTGTGTGATCAGAGCGTGATTATTGGTCCCACAGTCCTTGCTTATAGGGACTCCATTGGCCGCGGAGGATCGTTCTCAGCATTCCTTGTCTTGCTGGGATGGTCACGCAGTTGTCTGACAGACTTAAAACATTCTCTTTTTTATCTTTTTTTGATCGGTTAATTCCAATGCAGGGATTTCGCCTCTGGTATTGTTAAAGGCAATGAGCACAGGAATGGCTTGAAACTTGCATATACGAGTTTAGAATTTGCAATTGTGCTCTTCTTACAAACCACTCTTAGGTAGGGGTAAGTATTCAATCGAGTAAAGTAAAAAAAAAGATTAAATTAATTCGAGTTGCTGGGGTATATTTTATGACTCAAATTTAATTTACAATTTTTTATAGTCGAGTCGAATTTATAAAACTTGAGTTGAGTGGAGTCAAGTTGTTCGAGTTTCTACACAAATTTAATTGTAGGGCTGGTTTTAATTTTTCGACTTTCACTAACCATATAAGATATGTATATATTTCTTTCTATTCTTTTCACATTATAATCTTATTTAAATAATCTAAAATATATATATATATATATATATATATATATATATATATTTATAATATTATATTTCAAAGAACGTATTTTGATGGTAAAGTGTTGATGAGAATATAAAGAAGTCAAGATTGATGAGAATGAAAATTTTACAAACAATTACAGTCAAAAGACTAAATTGAGTAAAATACAAAGTTAAGGGACTAAATTTTAAAAAAAATATTACATTTTTAGTAAAAATGAGAATCGAATTTACATAGGTATTTTATAGTGTTATGGGAGGATGCAGTTCAAATTTAGTTAAAATGAAGGATGAATTGAAGAAATAAGGAAATAATACAAAGTTGAGGGATTAAATTGAAAAATATAAAATTTGTTATCAAAAAGAGGGATTGAAAGTACATAGATATTCTACTATAGTTTAGGAGCATGCGGTTCAAATGGGATAAAAAAAATAAACTTAAAATGAAAGAAGAATTAAAGGAATAAGAAAATTAAAGACTAAATCGCAAAACTATCAAAATACTCAATCAAATTTTTAATTTTTTTGAGTGAATTAAAATTTTTAAATTACAATTCGACTCAAACTTGATAATTCGAGTTGACTTGAATGATTAAAAATTAAAAAAAATGATTTTTCGAGTCGAGTCTCGATATTTACTCACCCCTACCATTGAGTTCAACAACTAAAACTACCGTATGTAACAGGCAGCTAAACATTTTCATTCAGAGCATTTGCTCAAGACACAAATCAAAGCTACACTTAAATAATTTCAGATTGTTATGTCTGCAACATAAAATCCTGTTTCTGTATTGGGCAACAAAGCAAATCATTCCTAACGTTTAACAATAGTAATAATATGTGAGTTGATGTTGTAAGGAAATTATTAATTTAATATATAAAAGCTTCATGTATATATCGATTAATTGAAAGCGATTACAAAATAGTATGCTTTTTTAAAGATTTTTATTCATTTTACAATAAAAAAAATCAAATATCTTTACAGTTTCAGGAGCTCGAACATGGGACCTCTAAGAATAAATAACAATTATTCATTTAATCACTGAGATAGTTTAGTTCATGCAAAACTTTATGATTGTGTGTATATATATGTATGTATATATATTGTCGACACCATTTTTCACCCGGGTGGGGAAAAACTATTCGCCTTAGGGGTTTTTCTTTGAAAAGATTTGGAAATGTGAGTCGTCACCAATCATTTTCAGGTGCGATCGAGACACCATAAAAAGTGGTTGATTTTAATAAAATATTTTATTTTTATCAAAATACCAAGTTTAGGGTCTATGAAAACCAAAAAATATGTTCGGGAGTCAGTTACGTGTGGGGAAGAATTAGCACCCCATAGCGCCAAAAAATACCCAGTTAATTACCCTATATTTAGAATATAAAATTTTGAGCTCGAACCTTATCTAATTTAAATATCATTGCAGATGCAAAGTTGAAAAGGGTATTCGTTTATTAAAGACAATAACATTCGCCCCTAGCATGAATGCGGGAGATAAGCTATTGTGCCCAATAACTGGACATTGCCTCGAGATTTTTGAAAATCATGATGCGGATTTGAAAAGGATGTCGACCTATTTCGGGAATCACTAGTAGTCACCCCCTTAGCATATTTGCGGGAGATATACTATTGACTCCCTAATATTTGAACATTGCCTTGTGTTTGAAAATATATACAATCAAACAATTTATTAATCCTAATTAAACTAAGGGTGGATTAAGGCTTTCTCTATCTTAAAGTGTCAAATTATTAAAGAACCTAGAGGCTCAAGCCTAAAAATGTAAGCTCCAATATTAATCCTACTTGATTTTAACCAGTTATTAAATCGAATAATCGATATGGTCCCTTGAGCATTTAGGCGAGGGTCAACTCAAATTACTCCCTAAATTAAAGGGACTAAATTGTAATATAATATAATGTGGAGGCTCTACTATTAGCTAAAATTAATTTTAATCAATATTGCAATTCGAATAATTAAAGTGGATCCTCGAGCAAAAGCGAGGACCAAATTAAGAATTCTCTTAATTTAATGATTAAATGTGAAATTAAGCCTACAATGGAGTCTCTAATATTAATCCTAATTAATTTTAATAAATTATGGACTATCGAATAATTAATTCAGAACCTCAAGCATACGCGAGGACCAATCGAAAATTCTCCTAACTTAAAAGTTTAGGGACCAAATTCAAAGGACTCTAAATTTAAGGACTAGATATAAAAGCTAAGTAATCTAGATTAGTACTAAAATATTCTAAATCTAAATAAAAAAAGGTTTAATTAAAACTTAAAAATTTAAGACTAATTTAAAGAAATCGAAATTAAAGATAAAATTAAAAGCAACTACCAAGTAAAGGAGTAAATTGCAATAAATTAAAAATGCAAAGATGAAATTAAAGCATAAAGTAAAGGATTAAAATGAAAGAAATCAGAACATAAAGCTTAAATTAAGATAATGCAGAAAATCAAAACTAGAATTTAAAGGACTGAAATGTAAATATCAAAAAATAAATTAAACGAATAAGAAGAGGTTAGGGGTTAATTTAATTTTACCCGGATCACGAATAACACAAATCACAACCCTAGGCGGGTCATCGCGAGGTCATAGAATAATTCGAATATAATAAAAAAATGGTTAGCGGATTAGTAAATTAATGGTTAAAAATTTGAATTTTTTCCTGGACCATAAATAACGTGGATCATGCCCCAGGACAGGTCACCACAAGGTCATATTAACATTTGAATATACTTATACCAGTTAGAAGTTAGGAGTTAATTTGAAATATAAAAAATGCATACAATTAGAGGGCTGAAATGTAAATGCTAAAAAATAAAGTACATTAAATTGTATGACTAAAATAAAAAAATATAAAAAACAATGAGCAGTTTCTAAATAAAAATAGTGACCGGAATGAAAGAAAATGAAAAATAATAGCTAATTCAAAATAAATAAAACACAAATAAGTGGCTAAAATAAAAACTAGTAAAATCAGACCATCATATTCAAATAATAAAATAAATAAGGAAATGGTGGTTATTTTGGAAAAATACAGCAATACTTGGGGGACCGAAGCATGTTTTTCCCTTTTTTAAACCTTAACAATTACCTAACATGACAAGAATGGGAAAATAGCACAAACATGATCTACAAATTTGAAATAAAATCAAAATGACCCAAACCAGTGACTAAGATACAAATATACGGCTAAAGTATTGGGAGATATATGGTGATTAGCCCAAAAAGTTTCAAATAAAGTCTATATTTTTCCTTTTAGGGTAATTTTCTATCTAACCTAAAAGAAAACCTTTCACACTATAACATTTTCTCTTAACTCGTCTCTTCCCCTTTACGTCGGTGGCCGAAAGATCAAAGCCACAAGACCACGTCGCAGTCGATCACCGACGGTCATTTCCCCTTCCTAGCACCGATCACGACGCGAGTAATTGACGAGTTTACTCACACGAGCCAAAGTCCTTTTTTTTCCTTCCTCTCCCTTGTTTCCTTCAACTCCCTTGTTTCGGCCAAAAAGACCATGGATCTAGCTAACCACTACCGTATATCGGTGGTTCTCCTCTCACAGGCTACCACCTATAGTGGCAAACGACCCCAACACAGCCTAAGGCCGAAAATAACATCCCCTCTCTTCCAAAAAATGCTAAATCGAGACCTAAAAAAGGTCTAAGATTCCCCCTTTCCCCGAACAACCGTAATGGCCTCCGACCGACACTCCTTGACGAACCACTCTCCCATCTGAGAGGGCTCACTCTACCCAAGGTAAGGGACTTGTTCTCTCTCCCCTCTCTAAAGTTCCTCACTTTTTTGTTTCATACATGTGCACCATAGAGAGAAAAAGAATTGAAAAATAGGGGCTCAAATTCTTACCAAAAATTGCTCTTTTTTCATAACATCAAAGAAAATCAGGGGAACCCCTTTACATTTGTTTGTTTGGGTTTTTATAACCCAAACTATTACAGCCAAAAATTTAGAATAAAATTACATTTTTTCTTCTTTCCTGTAATTGTTGGTATGATCTTTTTGAGGTTGTTGGAGTAGATGGTAATAGAGGAATAAGGATGGCAGTCATGGTAATGGCAGGGATACAAGATAGGGGAATGGTAATCCCGGATTTTTCAGGGCCCATTTTTTTACTTTTTTTATTGAACTAATTTTATTATTGGGATAAAAATGGTGATTACAACTTTCCCTTTTGCTCATTGTTGTGAAACAAGAATAGGTTAAAGATAATAAGCACCATTTTTATCCGGCTTGAACTGCTGAAATCTTGAGCTCCAAGTTCTTCTCATTATAAACTCTTCACTCTCTTCGAATGAGTTCTTTTCATTATGAACTCTCCACTGGAAATGTTGATCGACCTCCTTCTGTGATGAAATCAAACGAAAAGGTGATGTTGATCCAACTTCTTACATGATGAAATCTAGAAAAGTGTTGATGTTGAGCCAACTCATATGTGATGAATCAAGCAAAAAAGGAAATATTAGTCCAAATCCTTATGTGATGGACGAGTGAAATGATGATGTTGGTCTAACTCCTTATGTGATAGATGAGAAAA